CACACACACACACACACACACACACACACACACACACACACACACACACACATTAATTGTTTTATTAAATGTATCCTCGAGAGTCAGTAAAAAACTAGAAATAACTGCCTTTGTTCTGTAAATCTCACCAAGTTTCAGCTTTCGCCTCTTCCTTTGTGGAATGAGGTTTCACATTTGTAAAATGATCTCTGTTATCTGTCTGTACCATCAACTTAACTGCCCTCAACCCCTGCAGTTTTCCCGTCCCATATTGCCAAGCAGGTGACCCACAAGGAGGAATACGGCCCTCCCTCAGTCCAGAAGCATGAGTTATACTGTGCCTACCACAATAAGTTGTGAATACGTAGTCTTGCTGTGGCCAAACATTTTACAACAATTTGGCAAACTTTGATATGTAAACAGCACATATAATTCAGTTTTGTTTCATCTTAATATATCAGTTGAATCCCACTTGACCTTTGAAGATCCAGGTTAGAATAGGTCTTCAGCAACCCATTCTTGCCGTTATATGCGACTATGCTTGTCCAAAAACCAAGACAGCTACGCGATAAATCGCAAAGAACAGAGAAGAAGGAAGCCATATATATTTCTCGATAAAACCTTGTTCTATCATTTATGGAGATTCGAACATGCACTCGCAACTTGAGGACGTTGTAGATTTGACGTTATTTGTGAGAGGGAAGTGTCTAGTGAGTTGTTCCCAATAGATGTAGCTGGGGAAGGTAGATAAATTCAATGCCGGAACAATCGCATCCGAAAGTGAGACCGATATGACAATCGGTATTGGGAGAAAAGGTACAAATAATCGACGAGAAAAGTGTGAGAATATGCGGGAAAGACCAAATTTAAACCCTCCTGTTCATAAAATGGATTTATCTGGCAATGACGCGGTCGGAATCTATTCAGGGAGTCATCATAATTTAAGTACGGGTAAATATTTTTAAAGCATCTACTTTTTCCTAATATAACACTCTTAAAGAGGCTGTACGAAATGTTGATATCTCATATAAGAAATAAACGAGTCGTGGTCGTTGTTTATCGTACAACTGTTGTTTCTTAATTACATGACCATATACACTGACATTATATCACATGTTTATCAGTTGACGAAAACGACATAAGCCGTTCCATCATCACAAGAAACCCTTGCCAAAAGTAGCGCCAACTGCACGATTCCGACAACACCAGGAGCATGTTTCATTATTCACCATAAAAAATGATGACACTGGGTGATCGCATAAAGGCGAGCTCATCCCGATCCACTAGTGGCACCCGCCACAAACACACGCAAAGGCAAGCCAATTGATTCACCCGAAAAGGCACGGAAACACACGGTACAAGTCAAAATAGAGAATTGCATCAGACATAATTTTGGTCATTGATACGTCAAACCTAGAAATGCCGTCTACACGTCCAACACAAGGCCGAAGGCAGGACCCGAATCCTTTGAACCCGCCCAAATAACCCCCTGAGCACTAAGCTTGCCGTAATCCAAAGTTCTGTTAATAAAATACATTTTCCCCTAACCTAAAGTAATCTATACTAGTTCTGAAGTAAATCGTATTTACCCGCATGAATCGCCTCATGTCATTTATTGCCGATAAACAGAATATGCACACTTTCTGACAGTAATGTGTGATAAGTCACGCACCAAACCTTTACTCTCGATATACATGTTGCTCTTACTTTAAACACTATTGGGCTAACAACGTATATTAAAGTGCCATGTTTTCCTGATGTGCTGTCATTCTAATTTGAAATGATGACATAAATAGTTACCACTCATCCTTCAATATTTTTCAAGGTCGGTTTAATCACAAACATATTTGAATATATACAACAGCTATACTTACTTATCTTTATACTTAAAAGCATTAGGTTTGTCTGTCATACACACACCGAAAGAAATATGTCCAATACAGCCCAAAATTTGACAAAATGAAGAAAGTCTCTTGTCTCCTTTTTATTATATTTTATAACTATTGTTTAACAACTGTTTTTTTTCTGTAAAATATGTTCATTTCAGAGATTAGATGTTATTCTAGCATCAGGTCTGTGGTACGTTCACTGCATCAGCGTTGACATAACAACGATATTTACATATATAGATACATACAGAGGAAATGCTTAGCATTTATCTTTTAAGGAAAAATGTGGGACTTTCTTAATACATATGTATGTGGACATATATGTATGGACATTTAGATGAATATAGATATACCTCCTTATAGATAGTGATCGTAGATGATTGTAGAAAGTGCATGAAGAAAATGGAATAATTATGTGAGTAATCGGGTAAATACCACGTTTAGCAATATTCAGCAATATTGCGATATTGGTTTCCAACATACAAGACTGACCATGAAATTATAACTTGAATTTGGACCTGGCTTTCTGGTGTGATGTAACACCCCATAATCTCCTGTAGAAAAAGAGCTAAAACACGAATATAGATCACGAGATGAAACTGATGTATACATCTGGACATATATTTGCGTAGTATTACAATGTTAATTCATCAGTATACATGTATTTTGCGCAAAAGGATATTGTAGATCGACGCTGACATGCGCATTTAACCTATTCACCAGGGCTGTAATATTTAATTTATCTGTCTTTTGATACATATCGATAGGAACATGGAGAGTCCGTCTGAAGAAATTTAGACATGCTTTGGATCTTTTGGATAGTTGTACTTCACGGTTAGACTAACGCTTAGTCTCTGAAAATATATTATTTTGGTTAAAACGAGAAACTATATTTAAATTTAAAAGGAGCCTAAGTGAGATGGAAATTTCAGCCTGAACCTGTTGAACATCTAGGCTTGTTTCATTTGGGGCTATAGCATTGCAGTGAGGCCTGGGCGGAAGGGAAAATAATATGGATCAGGGACTGTACTCATGGTGCCAGTACACATTTCAGGCCCTCGGTGAACGGGATCATCACCGGCCTCGCACGGCTTGGCGAGGTAATTGAGAGATAATTGCTCCTGGCAAATCTTGAAGAAAACATTTCCCAATGTAATTCCCCGAACTCAATTGCGCTAAATAGTGCCAATGACATTATTGACATAAAACAACAAATGCTTGAGCCATTTACTTACTTCTTACAAGTGGTCAGGCATCTAACGGCTATAATTGGTCAAAACATGGATGATTTTATCAGGGATCTAGTTCTTAGAAATGCATCTCAGAATGTAAAAATATTTGTGATTACTAAAGGATATTCTACACTTGCTAAAGTTATTAAGAACACAGCTTACGCTGCCGGGTCCCCTCAGTTTGAGTCAAAAGTAAGCATGCAATTCACTTACTGAGTGAACAGGTGGACTAGCCACTAATTCGTGACAATCTTCACTCCAACCAGTAAATGTTATTAATTTGAGCTAGTACCTTCGTGCCCAAACACCACAAGACTCACACACCTACCTAGAGCCCTAGAGACACATACACAGTCAACATTTTACTGTCCTCAGAATAAGTCATAATCCAGGGAAAACCACAATGGCAGTGGTGGCCGTTTAACCCAACAGGGACATTTTACAAATAGAGCAGAAGGTTTCCACTATCCCCCGGGCGACCATATACGTGGGGAGGAGGTATACTACACTCCAATGCAGGGTTTCGCAAGTTGCTCACAGCACACTTTGTGGCGTTTGTGGCACAAGCCTAACCTCTCCCGGCCAGCAATCCCCCCCCCCCCCCCCCCCCCCCATTTTCTCACTGAACCTGATACCCAGAAATCACGGTCTTATCAGTTGTTCTCCTGCTCCAGTAAAACAGGCAGGGGCGAGCTGGTCCGAGTTGTTTACATTATGGCACTGATGGTATGGGCCAGTGTCTATTCACTAAACAAACAGTCATCCCTTGAATTACGATCAATATGGTAACCATCTATATACATTTTGGGCTTCAGCCCATTTAGGCAATTCATTAAACATTATAAATGATGGCAGTTATGGGTTAGGCGCATACTGAGGTATGTTAGTACAAGAAACCCTTAGTAAAAACAAACAAACAAACAAACAAAAACAAAAAAAACAACAACATAATTTTTATAGAAACCAATAACTCAAAAAAAATTGAAAAAAGATCCAAACTGAGATGACAGATTCAGCTTCGGAAAATTGTAGACTTGCTTCAAATTTTAGGGCTATATCGTTACAGTAAGGGCCAGGCGGAAGAAAAATAAGGTTCAGGTTCAGTGAGGCAGACTAGTAATCTAGTAGCATTGTGGTACTTACAGGTAAGGAAAACCAAAATAAAAATATTCCTATATAGTTCGTTTTAACTGAACTTCTCGCCTTTATATAAATATCACCAGAAGACCACGAGCATCAATAGCACTGGGCAGAAACATGATGTCCATAGCACCTGCGGGGGTATGAACAGGGTTGTAGGACTCTTAAGATATTTCTTATTATGTCAAATGTTGAATCCAGTTTATTGGTTCTACTTCATGTAAAAACAAAAACAACAAAACAAAACAAAAAAGACCCCAAAACACAAACAAAACCTACTTGATTCGTTAATTAAAAACATTTGTTTATTTTATTCATCAATGTCTACTGTGTGGTACGTCTGATATTTTCGTACAAAATTGACTTGATAAACGTTTCACGATAAAAGAGTTATATTTTGTAATATGTGATTCCGCTTTGAAAAGCATTAAAAAGGCAATGAACCCAATGAACGAAAATCCGAATGGTTCAGCTGCAAGTGGATCAATATCTTTTTAATCTGCAGAACATAAATAAGATAAGATAGATAAGATAATATTTATTGCAGAAACATTCCATTATGGGACTGATGCAATTTTGTAAAGATGAAACATTATGATTCATATATACATGTATACAGACATACATAATTTACATTCCTGTAGACACAAAAACCAATCAATATGACATATTTGATGATATTATTATACATAAAATGTCAACGGTTGGGCTGTTCGTCACGCTGAAGACCCGGGTTCGATTCCCGACAGGGGTACAATGTGTGAAGCCGATTTCTGGTGTCCCCCGCCGTGATATTGCTGGAATATTGCATAAAGCGGCGTTAAACCATACTCACTCACTCAACGGTTGATTAGGTTGAAGGGGTATTTATTGTTTAAAATAATAGACATGGAAACAAATGCTGTTACCCCATATTCATCAACAGTGAGAACCTTGCAAACTTTGCACACTTGGCACTTCCGGTGGCCTGGCACTGGCCTCAGTGTAAACTATCGACATGGATGCTAGGTCAAATAACCCCAAACACCCTGTCCCCACTGGTGATATGTCACCAACCTATGAGTCAATTATGGTAGCGTTTAAAGGATCTCATGGTGGATAGTACTTCAGGAGAGAATAGTACAACAACACAAACTACCGAAATTCAAGCATAGCTGTAGCATCTGACACACGACACATACCAAGAATGGTGGCAGGCACACCTCAAAACCAAAGGGGTGTTCACCTGAAGATGTACATATATTGATCCATTTGAATGAAGTGAATATGACGACGAGATTGTTCTTGTTGAGGAGATAATGCCGACGAGATGGTTCTTGTCGAGGAAGTAATGCCGACCAGATGGTTTCTTGTTGAGGAGATAATGCCAACAAGATGGTTCTTGTCGAGGAAATAATGACGACGAGATCGTTTCTTGTGGAGGAAGTAATGCCGACGAGATGGTTTCTGTCGAGGAAGTAATGCCGACGAGATGGTTTCTGTCGAGGAAGTAATGCCGACGAGATGGTTTCTGTCGAGGAAGTTATGCCGACGAGATGGTTTCTTGTCGAGGAAGTGATGCCGACGAGATGGTTTCTGTCGAGGAAGTAATGCCGACGAGATGGTTTCTGTCGAGGAAGTAATGCCGAAGAGATGGTTTCTGTCGAGGAAGTAATGCCGACGAGATCGTTTCTTGTCGAGGAAGTTATGCCGACGAGATGGTTTCTTGTCGAGGAAGTAATGCCGACGAGATGGTTTCTTGTCGAGGAAGTAATGCCGACGAGATGGTTATTTACACATATCATAAACTCATCAATTTACTTACTGGGATTCCGATAATTCTAGGGTGGGGCCTTCTGCTTTTAGCCCCTGAATTTGGAAAAAGGCCCACATTTCCAAATACAATGGGGCATTTTAACAATGTACTGTATGGGCAAGTGTGGGTGTACCTAGGGAACATATGAAATGGTCACATAAAGGGCCCATGTCAGAAAATCCCTTGAGTGAACTCTGTATTTATTAACAGGTGTTAAGACTTGAAATAATATATAGACTGAGTTTTAAAACTGGTTTGGAGAATGTATGTTTCACATCCGCCTTGTTTGCAGGTAGTTACACTGTTTTCTTGTAAATAATAATAAATTAATAATAAAGTTTAGTATTCTATTTTGCTCTTTGTGTTTAATTATAAGTATTAACTACACATGTATTAGGGTACACACAAAAAGGACTGTAACTAGTGTAAGCATTTCGATTGTTTTGTACAGCTAGAAGTATTCATATTACTTACAGTTGGTTTTCAAAGTATTAACTATGATAAAAAATTATTATCTTTTTAAAAATTCAATATTTTATTAGTTTTACCTTTAATCTTTGTAACTTTAACATCAGAGCTAGCTGCAGCTTTTAGAAATGTTTAGCTTTATGTACCCTTACACTACACTTTAAAAAGTTATATTGTGGCATCATTTACATGAAATTTTAAGATGAGATCTTGTCAGTAATGACTTCTGCAGGCAACTACTTTAGATGACATCAGCCTATTTAAGACAATAGCAGATGAAAAAATTAACGAAGCGTTAAAAATTTAAGTTTGGATGTTTTGGATGACTATTTTTGAAGATATCGATAATTCTAAATGATTATTGCAAATTGTTAGCCATTTGTTTCATACTTTTGCATTTATTCGGAGGAAAATCAAGAACTGCCATCAAATATTATGAAAGGTTAAAATACTGAACATCCCAGCTGCCATTGTAAATCAGCAAAGAAGAGAAAGGGTGATGAAGTCTGAATGACTAATGCTTGGATGGTGATAGGACTTAAGGTTGGACAAGGCTGATTCTAAACCTATAATCACTGTCAAGCCAATGTCAACCCAGTGCTGCGCCGATAATTATTGTCCATCCGATGCTGAGTCGATAACAATTGCCTATGTCTGGCGGATGGCTGGCCAGATAACTATTTACGACGTTTGGCCGATGTCGATCCGATGAGCAAAACTTCATCGGCCCGACAATGTTTGCCGACGCTGGGCCAATGCTTGGCCGGTGCAGTGCCGATGCAGGGCCGATGACGTTTGCCGACGTTGGGCTGATGTCGATCCGATGAGCAAAACTTCATCGGCCCGACGATGTCCGCCGACGCTGGGCCGATGCTGGGCCGGTGCAGTGCCGATGCATTGCCGATGCAGGGCCGATGAAGTTTGCCGACGTTGGGCCAATGTCGATCCCATGAGCAAAACGTCATCGGGCCGATGATGGCATGCTACCTAGGGACAATGTCATCAAGGACATGTGTGGAGCTGTGACAGTGTTGTTAAGGACACGTGTGGAGCTGTGACAGTGTTGTTGAGGGCATGTATGAAAGTGTGACATTGTAGTTATGCACATGTATGAAGCAGTGACATTGTCGTTAAGGACATGTACGATGCTGTGATATTGTCGTAAAAGACCTCTGCCAAGCTGTAACATTGTTGATAAGAACATGTGAAACTATGACATTGCTGTTAAGGACATCTGTGAAGCTGTGCCATTGTATCTGAAGACATGTGTAAAGCTGTGCCATTGTCGTTAAGGACATGTGTGAAGCTTTGGCATTGTCGTTAAGGACTTATGTGAAGTTGTGGCATTGTAGTTATGGACGTGTGTGGAGCTGTGACATTGTCGTTAAGGACATGTGTGAAGCTGTGACAGTGTCATTAAGGTTGGTTGGTTGGTTGGCACTCAGCAATATTCCAGCTATATGACGGCGGTCTGTAAATAATCGAGTCTAGACCGGACAATCCAGTGATTAATATCATGAGCATCGACCCACGCAATTGGGATCGATGACATGCATCAACCAAGTCAGCGAGCCTGACTACCCGATCCCGTTAGTCCCCTTTACGGCAAGTATGGGTTGCTGAAGGCCTATTCTACCCCGGCGTCTTCACGGGCCAACAGTAATGGAATATATCAGGGTGTGCTTATATTTAATGGAATATATCAGGGTGTGCTTATCTTTTTTTTTCTTTTTGTATATCATTCAATGTGCCAAGTCAAAGTCAGCGAGCCAGACCGCCTGATCCCGTTAGTCGCCTTTTACAACAAGCAAAGTCACCTTTTACGGCAAGCATGGGTTGCTGAAGACCTATTCTACCCCGGATCTTCACGAGTCAGTGCCGTTAAGGACATGTGTGGAGCTGTGGCGTTGTCGTAAAGGACATGAGCGAAGCTGTGATGTTGTCGTTAAGGCCATGTGTGGAGCAGTGACATTGTCGTAAAGGACATGAGCGAAGCTGTGATGTTGTCGTTAAGGCCATGTGTGGAGCAGTGACATTGTCGTAAAGGACATGAGCGAAGCTGTGATGTTGTCGTTAAGGACATGTGTGGAGCTGTGACATTGTTGTTAAGGACATGTGTGGAGCAGTGACATTGTCGTAAAGGACATGAGCGAAGCTGTGATGTTGTCGTTAAGGACATGTGTGGAGCTGTGACATTGTTGTTAAGGACATGTGTGGAGCAGTGACATTGTCGTAAAGGACATGAGCGAAGCTGTGATGTTGTCGTTAAGGACATGTGTGGAGCTGTGACATTGTTGTTAAGGACATGTGTGGAGCAGTGACATTGTCGTTAAGGATATGTGTGAAGCTGTGACATTGTCGTTAAGGACATGTGTGGAGCAGTGACATTGTCGTATAGGACATGAGCGAAGCTGTGATGTTGTCGTTAAGGACATGTGTTGAGCTGTGAGATTGTTAGAAAATGTGTGAAGCTGTGATATTGTCGTTAAGGCCATGTGTGTATGTGAGACATTATCGTTAAGGACATGTTTGAAACTGAGACTCTTTTCTATGAGCCCATGTGTGAAAATGCGACATTGTTGTTTAGGTCATGTGTGAGAGGGGACAAAGGTCATGTGCGAAACTGAGACATGGTCGTTAAGAACCTGTGTAAGTGTGAGACAAAGGTCATGTGTGAGACTGACACATTGTCGTAAAAGCCATGTGTAAGAGTGAGACAAAGATGATGTGCGAGACTGTGACATGGTCGTTAAGGCCATGTGTGAGAGTGAGACAAAAGTCATGTACGAGACTGAGACATTGTCGTTAAGGTCATGCGCGAGAGTGAGACAAAGGTCAGGTGTCAGAGTGAGATATTGTGGTTAAGGCCATGTGTGTTAGTGAGACAAAGGTCATGTGTGAGACTGATACAAAGGTCATGTATGAGAGTGAGACAAAGGTCATGTGTGAGACTGAGATATTGTCGTTAAAGCCATGTGTGTTAGTGAGACAAAGGTCATGTGTGAGAGTGAGACAAAGGTCATGTGTGAGACTGATACAAAGGTCATGTATGAGAGTGAGACAAAGGTCATGTGTGAGACTGAGATATTGTCGTTAAGGCAATGTGTGTTAGTGAGACAAAGGTCATGTGTGAGAGTGAGACAAAGGTCATGTGTGAGACTGAGACATCGTTGTTTAGGCCACGTGTGTTAGTGAGACAAAGGTCATGTGTGAGACTGAGACATTGCCGTTAAGGATACGTGTAAAACTGACAGAATTTCGATTACGCAATGCATAAAACTGTGACATTGTCATACGCTAAGTTGTGGTTTTGTTAAGAAAGCCATGGGTGAGACAGGCATTGTCAAAATGGTCATGTGTGAAGCTGCGAAACTCTCTATTTAAGCAGGGTAATCAGAAACTGCAAAACTAATAATTGAAGTAAGTTGTGTTTGAGGAACTTATCCAAATTTTAATTGGACGAGCACTTTCATAATATGTTATGGTAAACATGTGGATGACATTTCAAAGTTTGGTGGCCAAAATGCAATTCCTTATTTTGGCTACAATATGTTCTCATGACTGTTCAGGTGAAAACTTCCCATATCGGTGTATGTGATTATGACGGGTGCACACTTTTCGCGAACACCTGTTATAATCACTGATCACCATTTATGCATTGCATAGAGGACTACATTAGTGTGGCGTATTCTTTTTCAGACAATTGCTATAACTTTGTTACTTTTAGGATTAGGGGGAACTGAAAGTGCTTGAATACCAATTGGATTATGACTGGATTATTTACGAAATTGACCTGTTGTCTCTCTGCATAGGTAACCAAGATAAAACCATGGATTGTATCGGCTGTTCTTTCCAGAAAATAACTGGATTTGAACCCGAGGCTTGACTCTAGATGACGGGAGATACATTGAATATATAACCTGCTGATCTGTGTTCATTAAACGTTGTTTCAACAACATTTTTACTGTATTCATATAGTCCTCGGTATACTTGTGTAACACTTCAGGAGTTCCCAGAAACATGGCCCCGCCCACCCATACACTGTTCCCTTTGATTACGCTTTCTATTGTAGCTTTATCGTTAAAACCATACACACGGCTATAAGCGACTCTTTCTCTGTCCCATTCGTGTGGTATTTGAAGCTTGAACACCGAGTTATCATCAGCAAGAGCACGAAAGAGTCCAATATCCAACCAACAGAAATATTTGGTAGGAAACAGTTCCTCCATTAAGACTTTGTTAACTAACTCAAACTTTGCATGCATCGCACATGAGTAGTTCTCGTTAACTGTGTTCGGATGATGATGTGGATAGTTAGGCTGACTGTAAATACTTCGAATTTCCCCAGCCAAAGAGAAGGACCAGAGATTGGCCCTGTCTATAAGGAAAACCTTTGTCATGTTGCTAGGGAACTTCCGTCTGAGGTTAGTAAGTAAATTAAAGGCATCTCTAGAATCGGTATATGCGACAAGGTTGTTCCTGATTCTGCCAAACACCTTCATCCATTGCATATAACGGCTTGGTGTGTGCACGTTGGATGTTTGACCCTTGGCGAATGAGCCAATGTTAAAATATGCTGTAACGACTGTGATTTCAGGTTTCAGAAGGGATGGATCGTCGATGCTCTGCGACAGGATCTGAAAGAAAGTTACTCGGGATAGACTTTGAGGAAAATATTCAATAAACAGTACCAATGGCTGCTTGTGTGTTATAATCTTCTGTTAACTTCAAGGTCTTCATGAACACAAGTGAGTTGACTATATATGAACATATATGAATAGTTAGAACATCAAGAATTATATTGTAAGGAGAGTAATCAAATTGGAAGTAAGACATTTTTTAAATAATTGTTATTTTAAGACATGGTAACACATGAGCGTATCTACTCACTTTGTTGGTTTTGTTGTCTATGTTGAAGGTCACTTGCAGCCCAGATGGGAGGATTTGTTTTCTTGACAAAGCCTTGATATAAAACATTATAAAACAATGTTAGATTGTTCCTACAAAATACGCCACACAACTGAAACAAAAAACACAGTTGTAAGTGGTAAAATCTCCAATTACTGACACATAGAAATGTTCTTAGTGTAGCATCGACCATGAATGCTAAGAGTCACTTGTTAATCTCGCCCCGATTTGCTTCTTTACAGGCGGCTGTGACGTGGTTGTATGAACTCAAACAGTTTCAAGTCCTTCATGACATATGTGTCATGGGTTTGCTCATAATAAACTGATGGGTTCAAACAGAAGAGAGTTAGATAATACTCACTAACATTATAATTATCATATACATTCTGACAATAGAGTACAAATGAACATAACATCCATCTATCCACACCCATCCAATTATCCATGGATGTATGTATACATGCAGTGCACGCACGCACTCACGCACGCACACACACACACAGAGACACACACACACGCGCACGCACGCACACAAACACACACACACACACACACACACACATGCATGCATACTTGCATACATACATACAAATTAAAAATCATGCCGAAATCTGAAAATAGAATACCTCGATAGTCATTTTAACTTGGGCGTGATGAGATATTCGGGGTAGAATAGGTCTTCAGCAACCCATGCTTGCTGCAAAAGACGACTCTGCTTGTCGTAAGAGGTGACTAACGGGATCGGGTGGTCAGGCTCGCTGACGTGGCTGATGCATGTTATCGTAACACAATTGCGATGGATCGATGTGCATGTCGTCAATCACTGGATTGTCTGGTCCAGACTCGATTATTTACAGACCGCCTTCAAATAGCTTGAATATTGCTGACTACGGCGTTAAACGGCAAATAAACAACAACAACAAAAACAAAACTTGATAATAACGTGAGAATAAACACAAGACTTATAATCATAATGTGTTTTTGTACTTTGCACTTACCGTTGAGTTCAGGAACTCCGATCTTTTCAACCAAACTGTCGCTGAAGAAAGGTGATGTACAAAACATTAACTGTAGGAACTGAACTGCACAAATACTGTAATCAACAGTAATCAGTAAATTATGGCACTTAGAATTTTTAAATTTCTGTATGGTTGAGGATTCTATGGATAGTGTGGTTTGTACTAAAGTGGCATTTGGTGACGTTCCAAGTAGAACCATGCAACTGTTCAAGCAAATTGACCGCCATATTTTATTCAAATACAAGAATAGAGCATACAAAACGCATGTTGATTGATAATGACGAAACACGCTAGGATAGTAACACTATACACTGTCTCACATTAAGTAACAGATAAGTTCCTTCTCGCAGTTACATACATAATCTCGTCCACATAAGAAAATATCCTCGCAATGCCCCAGAATGTCGTTGCTTCAGTGACCAGTTCAACCGTTTGCTTTAGTTTGGGTTGAGTTGAGGTGATGAGGTGGTTTTAGTGACAGGTTGGGGGTCAGGCAAGTTTATCATCCGACAAAATATACTTAACAGGTGATTGACAAGAGGGATGACTTCAGCTTTTCAATCGTCAACATTCACTGAATGTGCAGCTCCAGCCTTTGGTGTCTACATTTCACAACTTTTGAGATACAATCAAGCATGCCCTTTCTACCAAGATTTCAAAGTCAAAGTCACACAACTTTTGCTGAGAAGTTGTTTAATCAATGTTACACCATTAATGGCCTCGGGGCGGTCGGGTAGTCTAGTCGTTAAAGCGTTCGCTCGTCACCCCGAAGACCCGGGTTCGATTCCCGACATGGGTACAATGTGTGAAGCCCATTTCTGGTGTCCCCCGCCGTAATATTGCTGGAATATTGCTAAAAACGGCGCAAGACCACACTCACGCACTCACCCATTCATGGCCTCAGTAAAACTTTAAAAAAGGTTTATTGTGAACATTTGAAAGAGATTTCCAAATTTGAGATATCAGTGACGAAAATGATGCAATAACCTATTTTAACTTGTACTATATATCCCCTTGTTTTGTCAGATAAACAATTGACTTGCCTTTGCAATTGTTTGTGACGGGTGGGGCTTAACGTTTCGCGAACACCTAGTGTCTTCACTATGTGATAGTGATTCACAAAACATGTGTTCATTATGTGGCCGGAATCGTACACTCGACTCGACTCGACTCGTACACTAAGATTTCTTATGAACGAATTGAAAAGACTTTGTCACTTTTATGTAGAGGGGAATGTCTGAGTAATTCTCCATCCCTTTAAAATAATGGAGCAGGGGTCCCGCTGGGGCCGAGGCCCATTATTGTTAAGGAATTGAGAGTTACGAGGATATTCCCCTACTTAAAACACATCACTACTCTTACACTTGACAAAACATTATAAAGAGTCATAAAACATACATTGTAAAGATAAGCGGACTGATTCATAAATCAAATACTTAAAAGCTCCAACGACCTATCTGAGGCAGGCAAACAAATAACCTTCTTGTGGATACCCGCCCACGTAGGAATATACGGTAATGAAAACGCCGATAAAGCAGCTAAACTATCCCTCAAAATCCCAGAAATAAGCTTAAACTTACCCATCTCAAAATCAGAAATTAAAAGTGTAAACAAGCAAAAAATCACAAAAAATGGCATAACCTATATCTAAACTCAAATAGCCAAATCAAAAAAATGCTCAGCAAACCACTAACCAAAAATTCTCCATCCATCAAAATAAATCGACAGAGTAATCACTAAACTCCAAAAAGGACACACTAACCTAAATAACCACCTAAAAAAACACACACACACACACTACAGGTAACTGCCCACACTGCAAACAACCAGAAACCCCAGAACACGCACTCATCCACTGCACACACTACCTAACACATCGAACCGCATTACAAACCAACCTCAATCTAAACAAGGCTCTCACTCTAGAAGCAATACTAAACCCACAAAATAAACTAGAAAACTTCAAGGCCCTAGGCGTATTCTTAATAAAAACGGAACTAATAAAACGCATCTAAAAACACAATAACCTACCAAATCAAAATCATATAAACAAACAAACATCCACCATACCCAGCTCCCTTATTTCTCCTCCCCCACCCCATCGGCATCTATTCCAAATCTTAAAATTCCCAAATTCTATATAAGCAACCCCTAAACCCCCCTCTTGGGTTGCACAGACCACTTTCGCCCCTTTCGGAAACACATTAAATGGCCTGGCCGGGCCCGTGTGCGAAATACGCATCAGTCGGAAAGCGCACGTTAAATCTCCCAAGTAAGTAAGTAAGTATATAGGTATAAGTTCGTTCGTTGGTTCAGTTCACAAGTTATTCATTCATTGTCCTTGTTGGAGGAAGCATCGCTAACATGCAGCGGATTACTAAATAGAGTATATAGAGTTCATAGAGTATATCTATCTCACTTCCATCTCTACTGGGATCTCGAACAAACCAAAATCCAGTGGGGTCGGACACTTACCAAGCCGGCAGCCATCTTGCCGAACGCCTCACCCCAAAGAGCCACCCCACGGACAATACGGGTCTCATCTCACGAGTCGCTAAGTCTCCTTTTCTATCTCCCTCTCCCCTCTAATTTACTTATAGTCTCACATTATATTTTTATTGATTATATAAGCTTAACTTCTCACTTACTAGTGTATCTTATCTATTGTTTATTCACCACCCAGTGTTATATCACCCATTCATTGTTGTCATCTACCCAAACTGACATCCACAACCCCTACACCCACGTCCCCTCATACAGACTCCATTTTCACAACACCCATACATTCAGATACCCATTTCCCAGGACTTCCGCCCAGACACAGCCAAAACCCTGTTCCCTTCGTCATAAAACATACATTGTAAAGATAACCTCGTGACGGAGCACGTGCAACAGTGGCAGAGAACACAATCAACTCTCCATTCCCCCACAAAATATTGGAGAGCTAAAACAATAGAATGATGTCACAGGTGTGTTTTAATTGCAAGTAAATGACAATGAAAAGGAACTATATCTCCACTGTTGGTGAGTCAGTGAATGCGTTGTGTTTAACGCCGCTTGGAACAGTATTTCAACTGATATACCACGGCTTGTCAGCTTGATATTTGAGTAAAGCTTTTCACAAAGTGATGAAGGCCTCAGGTTTTTACTGCTTCAGTGAAATCCACGAGCACGAGTATGGTGCTGATGAAGATAAATACACAACCTTTTGGAACCGTGATTCGAACCCACAATCATACGTATCTGGCGTGCCCAATGGAGGGCTGAGATGACAAGGTCGCCCGTGACCTCTATTGTTGCATGCATGAAAGGTCATAAGGTCGCTCCACAATATACTGTGCATTATACTTAACACGCTGATAACATTATAATAAATTAATTTGTATGGCCATGTTTTTTTCTGAAAATGTCAACATTCTTCGAATTATGTTTTTGTGTTAGATTGGACGGTCAGGGACAGACTATAATACCCGCGCCCCAATCTTCTTAATGCTCCCTAATTGACAATGGACAATTTATGGACAATGGAAGTGTGTGTGTACGTGTGTGTTTGTGTGCGTGTGTGCGTGCGTGCGTGCGTGCGTGTGTGTGTGTGTGTACTTGTACTTGTATTTTGCGGAGATTAGTTAATTAAGTGAACTGTTTACAGGCCGTTGTAAATCATAAACAGTCCGTCGACTACAACCCATCGTCCTTGCGACTTCAGCTACGGACGTTCCCGTCTGCAACATGCCGATGGCACGTTCACGTTGCACATTTGAAAGGCGTGGCATGACAAATGGCCGTAAAGACTTTTGTTTTCTTGTGTTTTTCTTTTTTTGTTAATGACTGCTAAAAAGTATGGCTGAACACATGTGGGGTGTTATGGCCACGTGACCAGTTGCACGTGAAAAAACACTTTTGCCACTATAGTGCTGTGCACATGATTGTGATCGATTCACCTGCACAAAAACGGGTGTTACCTGAAGACAATACGTGGCCATTACTGTTTAAATACACAATAAGGGCCCACAATCATTACTGGTCAAAATGTTAAAATTTTCGGATTGTAAAGTTTTTAATTTGGTTCAGTATATATACAAAAAACTACATCGGCCACACAAATGTCAAAACATGATAAGATGTGTTTTATTATCATGTAGATTCTACGATGTACAACCCACGAGTCGCAATCTCGGGGTGAGAGGATGACAGCGGCAAGCAAAATATGAATAGCCAAACAATTACATTAGTATTTTTGAATGAACATTGCTTCATTTGTCATTGTCGCAGTCGTATTTGTTAAGAGTGGGGATGGATTAGGTTAGGAAATTAATTACAAACTCGAATTTACAAGTCAATTTGGTGATTGCTGTCAGCATAAAAAGCAGTGTCCTCATGAAATTCATAACGAGGCTTTCGGACACTTTCAGCAATGCGTGTGCATGTCATGCGGTCTAGCTAACATTCCTATTGATCGATGAGGAGCTACACTGCTGAGTTCGGTTTTCGATCACCAAACAGTTGAAATGAAAAATTGTTTGAAATTTATCATGAAATACTGCATAAATTTTATTTTTTTTAAAGTACTATTTCAAAGGTAATTGATGCTAAATATATATCACAAGACAATCAAAATTCAAATTAATGGCAAAACTTTGATGAGGAAAAATAGATACTGCAGTACAGATTTTTCAGGATTATCCATTATCCATTGTAGAAAAAAACATCTAGAGCCTTGTTTCAAATTTGATGTATTCGAACTAAAGATATATTATTCCAGTTTATCATTGTCCCTTTCCTATGTTTACAAGCAATGTAATTGTACATAAAACTACTTGTCCCCAATACTTTCCTGCTATTTTTTACATACAAGTGTTTGTAATATGCACCTACCTTTGTATTTGAACTATTAATGACAAACGTTTATTTGCACTTTTGGTTTACCGTGATATAATCTACACATATATGGTATCACATAATAAATGAAATCTGTTTTGTGGTAACCAGACTTCACAGGATCTGTTCAATATTATGTCAA